AGTTCACTGCGACTTGTTCCATTTAATTTTTGACTGCTGTGCTTTAGAAATGAACCGTACTATTATTTTATTTAGCCATTTATCTGGCCATAATAACTTCTCAATTAATTGTTCCACTATTCTCAACTCAACCATCCCTAATGTAATTTCACTAGTTATTTCTTTTATTAATGCAGCTGGTTTTTTAATGTAACTATATTAATTGTAACACCAACAATGTATCTGTTTTTTTTTTTTATTTTTATGTAAATAGTACTGAATAACGAGCTGTATTTTTTTTTAACTTAATTGCTATTTCTTATTACTAATTGTTAAGCTATAATAATACATTTTATCGAAAGCTATAAAAAAAAAAAAAAACTTGCACATTATTGTGTCATGAATTTAACTCGCATATTAATTTACTGGGTAGTATTAAAATATTTAGTAAAACATTTCAATTAAAAATTGAATGGAAAATCAAATAAATTAAATACAATTTATTCGTAAAAAAACCCTTCTCACGCAATAAACAATCGAAAAAGTTATTTTCATTTAATACATTGGAAGTATTTGGGCGCGTGCCTTTTAGAAATATCATCGCATTAGCATGGTAGTATTGGATTTGTTGTTGTGAAACGGATAAGACAAAAAATGTATTAGAGGAAGGTGTTGTGAAAGTTGTACGAGCAGCCTCATCGAACCGAAGATAGATTGCAAACTGAATGTGTACAAGTGCTATGTGGTAAAGTGAAAAACCGTTGCTTGTATTTTTTCAAATACTACAAATGTAAAACCTATAATTTATGTGAATCAGTATCCTTGTCGTCACCATATAAACGATGTACGTGTATAAGATTTTGAATCGACAATGGGCACATTAATAGCAAATATAGGTTAAAACAAAGTACGTTTGTATTTTTGTTTCGTAAAAAAACATTTTAAAATACGTACAAAGCGATGTTGTTATTGATACGTTTCAATTTTTTTATACTACAAATATTGGAATAATCTTTTTACAGTAGTTGTCCTCTATTTAGTTTTAAGAATTGTATATTTGGAAAAATCTATTATATATTCGCCTAAACAAGACATTTTTTTTCAATAAATTAAATAATTTATAAATTTTTATTTTATCTAATTTACTAAAGATTTAAATATTTTATTAATATAAAAAATGTATTTATTCAACATTTTGTTATATGAAACTCATTTTTTCTCTATTTATACTAAATGGTTCCACAATCAAATTTTGACAAAACCTAATGTAAAGAATCCTGCTTACTTTGACTTCAGCCTAATTGAATAATATTATACAAATTAAAACAATAACACGAATAGTTCATAACAAAAATAGTTTTGAGGTTAAAGTAGAAAAATAACTGAATTTAATTTTCATCAGACGAGCCAATATTCGTTTTATAAAATATTCATCTTACAAACAGTAGGTAATTAACTATTCTTAAGACCATAAAATAATTTCATGATATGTATATACAGTGTGATATATTAAAAATACTACTCTCCATTTGTGTTGTCAAATAATGTTTCTTTAATATAAATTGATAGATTTTAATTGAATTTATTTTTATGAACAATAGTAAATATAAAGTTTATTGTAAAAAAAAATGGTCTAAAAATTATTTTGACTAGTTAAAAGTAGTTTTAATTTTTAAATAAATAAATTATTTTTGAAATATTAACTTCAATCATTTAGAAATTATGAGAAGCAGAGAAGTGTTGAGTAACGTTTTATTTTTATCATAACGTACAGATAAGAATTCCTTAAAGTTGCGCACCTCTCTCGACTATAATAAAAATTAATATTACAAAACTAGTAATCGACCAATCAAATTTTGCTTAGACTATTTTCAATTTTATTGTTTTGTACAATTTTATCAAAAAATCATTAATTAACGAAAAAATGGGGGGTAACATACTGTAGTGTTACCATCTCATGCACACAATTATGTGAACACACAATATGCGAATACTATCAATCGTCTGAAACCAACCGGTACGTTTCCACAACATAAGTACTGATTAGTATTATCAATNGTAACATACTGTAGTGTTACCATCTCATGCACACAATTAGGTAAACACACAATATGCGAATACTATCAATCGTCTGAAACCAACCGGTACGTTTCCACAACATAAGTACTGATTAGTATTATCAATGACCAGTAGAGCAAAAGCTATGGCGACAGATTATATGTGCATGAACAATTGGTCTCTTCATGCGATATCGAATCGTGTAAGAATACGTTATACAAATTCGTTTTTATGTATCCAAATTTAGTTACATCAGGAATATTTGGTTGTGTAAATAACACAAGTAAGAAGACATGTGAATATAAAAGAATATATGTGAATGGTAGTCATGCATTTACAGATTGCAAATAAATGAAAATAAGGCATTATCAAGAAGGTAATAAATATCAATAAGATAAGGACAAAAATTAATAGCTTAGTACAAAAACACAATACAAATTGTCCCCAACAAATTTTAGTCATATAAAATGTTCAGTAAGTAAGAAAAGTAGTTCTCATTTTTTATAACAATTGACCTGTTTCCTTATTTTATTAACACTGAGTGAGGTAATTATGATTATATGTGACTGTTGTTGAAAAATATCACAATCTATGTGAATAAATTATTAGAAGTTATTTATTGTAAGAAAATTTTTTTTTGCGATAAACCATAACATGTGATTGGAATTTATAGGCGGTACAAATTTATGTATAAATATATATTATTAATATTAAAAGTAAACTATCATGTAAGATAGATCATATTTACATGATAATTAATAATGTACCTTTTCAATACTTAATAAACCACATTGTGTAAATTATAAAATTTTTTGTCATAATTAATATCGTTAATTTTAAAAACTGTTTTGATTTTGATGTAAAAATTATAATTTATATGTTAAAATGTAATATATAAAAGAATATTTATTAGATAATTGAAATCTAGGCCGGAATACATGTTTTGTAGCAATTTGTCTGATTTCACTTTTTTTATAGCATTTTATACTAATGATATTCTCTATATTTTTTAAAAATTTTAAAATGATCTTATTACTCATAATTATGAATGATAAAATTATTCTAGGAACGAATTGATATATTTTGTTTGAGCTATTTTAAAAGGACCTAAAATCGTGTAGATTCGTTGTCGGAATATATAATAGTATAGCAATATTTTTCATTTTAGGAATAAACCCCCCAATCCAATACTTTAACCCTAGTAGATCCCATTTCTAAGTTTCAAGCCTATTAATAAAAATTTGTTTTAAGTGATTATGTGTTTGAAATAGCTTAACAAAATTTATAAATGCACTCAACTTTTTAGTTTCAAACAATCAATTTTAATAGTTTTTGTCCATAGATAAAACCATCAATTATTCTGTCTTTCTTTTATTAAGTATTAGACGATAAAGAAAGTATGGATACATTTATAGTAAACAAACTTTCAATCTTCAACAAGCATATGATTGATTTTTTTTTAGGGTTATAAACTATGCATCAATTGTAATGTATTTGAATGTGTTTGTAAATAAATTACAATTTATATATTTATAACATTTTATCAAGAAATATTCTTTTGATAGATGAAGTGAATTAAAAAAAATAAAGTAATTATTTAGAATTAAAACATAGGGAAATATAAAATAAACTTAGTTAAATGATTTTTTATTTGTAAATTGCATTAAATTATATTTTTTTATGTTTAACTTCTTCCAAGCTAAGAAAATTAATTATTTTATGGGAGAGGAAGGGGAAATCTGTATACTGAGGCATTAAGCGTTTCCGTACAAGCTATACGGGATCACTTAAATAAAAATCAATAGATAAATACATCATCAAATGTAATATCTAGATATTTTTTAGTTAAAATAAAAATTATTTGGTAATTATTTTTAAAATAAATATGCAAATTAAATATTGGTACAACTGTGTTAAATATAATTTTATTGATAGAAATTTTTTTTCTAAGAAATAATAACTTTCTTTTTATGGAGTAGTAGTTAATTTCTTTTGTAATTATTTACTTCGAATGATATTCTGTTTGTGTTAGTAAAATAAACGTTTGTGTTATTACTTGTTATAAGGAAGTATTACCAAAAAGGCAGGTGAATCCAACACAATGTCATCTTAAGACATTAATACCGAAAAAAAACGGTAAAACTAGTTATGTTATAAAATATTGATTTTTATTTTTTTGTTCAATGTTTCAATTGTAAATCGTTTCTTTGTATGCCATTGACAAAAGCTGACAATATATTTGATAACCTTTCATTTATTTTTAGAAAATTATACTCTCTATGATGTATTTTCTGGTCACATTTCAGTAACTAGTTTTTCTGCAAAATGTAATGATTGATCATTGATGAGCATGGATTTGACACAATAAAAAACGCACTCAGCATTGTGGTATTATAAATTATTAATATTATATGTGTTTCCATGATTACTTAAATTTGTTAAATGTATAAGAAATTTTCTTCAAAATAATACTTTTAGAAAATACTTTTAAAAAGATACAAAATTATATAGTCGTTTTAGATTATTTGTAAAGTAAAAACGCATCAACTACTTAATAACTGTTTTGATAATTTGTAACCACATAATATTATGAATAAAATATTATTTTAAAATATATTTGTTCAGATGGGTTGAGATCAAAATGATAAGTATAACTCTATATTGTTATAATGAAATTTAATATTGGTATATTACTTGATAATTAATTTATCATTTAATTTATGAAATATGTAATAGTATTAATTACCCAAAATACTCACAGTTTTAGTTAGGTACTTTATATGTTATTACAAGTATATGTATTAAATTAAAGGATTATAATTAATAACTAGTTTAAATATAATAATATTTAGTAAATATTAGCGAGAATGACTGTATTTAGTTAATGGATATCCCTTTTATACAGGTATATATACCTGTATATATATATATATATCACTAAATGTTAACAAACGATTACTTACCTAATACTCCCAGTCTGTAATTAATTGTAATCACGACCAAACCACCATAGCTCGCCAACACGGTACCGTCATACGGGTTCCCTGAATTCCATTCATACGACTCTCCGTGTATGAATACCACCACGGGTTTCAAAGTGATTTTCTCAGAGCCATCGTAATTCACTAAAAAAAAATTATTTATGGTTATATAAATAAAATTAATGAAAATTACACTATATATTTTGTAATGGTACAGTAAGATAAGTATTGTAAATATATAACGTGCGAAAACATAACGGATGAAATATTTTATGTTTATTTTGTTGCATCATATGTTGACAAGAAGTAATATGGAAAATTGGTTATGTATTTATATAAAAAAAAATGCATTTTCTTCTTCTTCTCTTCAATATACATTTTCATAAAAGAAAATTGTGAACAAATGCCAACGAATGTCAAACATAGTCGAGCTTTTGGATCAGTGAAAGTGTCATCAACGAAAACGACGATGATAAGGTCAGAGATTAAACTACCACTACTCGTACACAACACATTGGGATTAATATGTTTATTTTTTTATATGAGTACTAATATACATTTTATTATTGTTTAATACAGAAAAATATAATTTCCATATTATGTTAACAGATTGTAATCAAACCTATTTTTTCATATATATTTGTAAAATGAAATAAATACTATTTTATTGTAAAATAAAGAAAATAACATTTCAATTTTTTACTAGAGAACATTAATGGAAATTGAAAATTAATTCACCAACTATTAATAACTGCAAATGTTTCACGACATGAATGTAATGAAATTGCCTAAATCTAGTGCCGTCTTATGAAGTATACAGTTTTATTGATTAAACCGTTTTGGTATGGAAATACAGATCTAAAAATTTGTAATTTTAATTGTAACCTTGATAAGAATTATAATTGCTAATATACTATATATTAGTAATAATACAATAACTAAACTAACACTCACTAATTTGTATTTTTGATTAATTTTAGTAGAGAAAAAAGAAAAAAGGTAATCGTATAATATTAACATCTTTATAGTAATTTTTGATAAATTAAATTTTTATTTGTATATCAATTTTTAGAATAAGTAAAATATTGAACAAAAAGTTTTGCTTTATCAAAGTTCAAGATTCATTACCATAAAATTTATAAAAATAAATAATGTATGATATGTAGTGAACACGGAACTTTTTAAATATAATTGACATATTACAATTTAAAACAATTCGATACGCTCATAGTTAATTTTGGTAGTTTGAATATAATTTTACTATTGATGAAATATCTCAATATAAACTTAGATTTTTGAATAAATCACAAGAGACAATGGGAAGGTCTAGAACCTTTTGTCAATATTGTCATTGGCCCATGTAATCAATTTACTGAGCAATATATTTTTTAACTGCTCTCGCAGACAGGCTTTAAATTCAGTTACCGGAAACAACAATAATGATGACAAATAATGCATGTGGTCGCAATTTCGCTATCATGTCGTTCAGTCACGTTTCATTAACGTGGTTGTGGTCACGGATTTTAGCTAACACAATAAACGTGCCAAATCATTATTCTTTTCTTCAAATCCAAAGTTAAAAAAACACTTTAGATAAATGATTCTAAATTTGTTTTTTATTATCTTAAAAATTTACAATGCTTATATGCCCCTAATAATTTTGACAATTAATTTTACTTAGTACGTATAAACAAAATGTTTCGAAATGATTCTTCAGTCATGGAACTTTTAAAAGTATTCATTTATAGATTATTATTTTGCATTAAATAACCATTAAAGATTTTACTAACGTTAACTCATACATTTAATGCATCTGTGTTAAATAAATATTATAAATCACTGTTCAATTATATTATTACGATAAGTCTTTTATTTTTATCATTGCCACAAATATTTACAAAATAATCATTATACACAAAATATATTATGATCATGGAAAATAATGCGCATAAATTTATTTGAAATTTCCGCGTAAAATATTGTATTTTTTTAAAACTAAAATTATCAATAAAATATTGAACACTACCGCAAAGATATAATCTTTAAATTGTCAACTCAACATGTTCGATACTTGGATTTTTCATGACTTGATATACGTTTCTCTTTTTGAAAATAATAACAGCTTCATATAGTTCAAATAGTAGATCAATCATAATTTGATTTCAGCTGTCAAAAACAAAAAGTTATATGTATCCGTTGGGATCGAAAAAAACATGAAATAAGAGAGGATAAAAATAATTTCTTTTTCTCTGATTAACTTATCAAACAATAATGGTATATTCTAAAAATAATTAAAAAAATGAAATGCAAGAATTTACCAACAGTATAAAAATTATAATTTATGATAAACAGTTTTTTGCATTCAAGTTAATAGTTTTTATGTGTACTCACATTAAATCATTACTAATTAGCTTCACAGGCTTTTCTGGATGGCATCACACTTAAATTACTGACATTTACATGAATAGTATCTTATTTTTTTAATATTTTATAATTAATTTACATATTTTCAATTTTAAATAATATTAGCCACAAATGATAAATTCTTATTATTTAATTTAGATAATCTGTCTAATCAATTTATGAAAAATTATATTACAATATGCTCAAAAAAGAAAAAATTAGTGTTGTATTCATGATATTTTTGAACATTAAAAATTCAAATGTAATTTACAATATTTAATTTTAAATACTATGCGACTACTTACTGCTTGAAGTTATTGTTTTAAAAATCGCAGATGCCTTTAATTTATATATATATAGTGTTACTACTAATATTATCAATTATTTTAAAGAATAGATGTATTTTACTAATATAATAATAATTTCAAAACTAAAATATATAAATTTTTATCTTTCTTTAAAAGTAATAGTTATGTATTTTATGTAAAAATAATAATTTATTAACTGTAATTTATACAAAAATTTGAAATAGATATTATATTTTATACATATTTCAATAATTTTGTATACTCAAATTGCATATAATTTCAAATTTTTTAGATGCGCATAATTTCGAACTATTCATGACTGGCGTCAAATATCAGTATATTGTTTTCAGAACTGTTATTATAAAAACTACTTTATACAATTATTTTATTAAATTCTTTATAGAAATGTTTAATATACAACACTACATTCAGAATATTAAAAATTATTAGTTTAAAACGTAATAAAAATTTACTATCAAGTTAAGTTTAACTATTATTGATTGATATAAGTACATACGATAATAGGAACTTTAGCAGGTGTTAGTTTTATATAATGTTCATTATGTATGAATATAAAAACACAAGTTAACTTAATTTTTATTAGTGAATCAATAATGAAGTAGTTTATATATAATTTTTTTTTATTGTTATTAAGTAAAATTCTTTGAAGGATAAAGGTTAAGGAATATTGATAAAATATTTAAAAAAAAAATCTATTTTTTGGTAAATAAAATTTTAACGAGGAAATTTTACGTCAAACATTGATTATTTGCTAATCTTGATTGTTTTAACTGAAGAAATACTTTTTAACCGTTTAAGAATTATACTTTGAATGTTAAATTATTGTATGTTATATGTTGAAATGTAATGATTATCAAAAGTACTACTTTAGATACACTTAATTGTAGTTTCAAGTAGACAGTACCAACGTACATAAATTGGTATTTATATATGTTTGATCCATGTCTCACAGGGAGTTTAAATTTCACATTTTAACTTAACAGTAGTATTTCAAACAACATAAAAGTGAAGTGCGATAACTATTGAATTTCGTTTTGGCTTTCCTCCAATACGGAAACCATTGAAGTGTATCGAATTGCATCTGTGTATATACCTTATCATTTAAAAATAAACTTTTTTCCAGATTTTTATCAACGCTTTTTAAAATTAAAACTGGCATATAATAATTTCTGTCGATAATATGATTTCAAGTGTTACTTCAATATTATTTTAAGTCAAAAAGAATTTCTCATGATATTACTTTTTTATTTATACATTATTCTTAGAATAATTAATTAAATTTTGATAGCATCATAAAATGAGAGAAATTTTTAACTTGTGTGTTCCAAACACAACATAGGCACGTTAGCAAAATTTTGAATATTGAAATTAGTGTGTTATAGCTCTGTATAAACATAAATTTAATTGTAACACTAAAACTCAATAATAGTTTGAGAATAACTTGACCTACTATGATATTAATTCAAGAGGTTATAGAATTAAGGGAAATATGATGAGTTCATTTGTGGAAAAGATAAATACATTATACATAATAATACTATTCTCCGTTATTTAACTAGCAAATGTTTATAGAATATCAGTTCTAAATTCATCAAAATATTTATTAGACTGAAAAATGTTATTGTAAGAATTTGTGATTTAAAGAAACTACTTTAGCTGAATAAAATAAATAAATAAAACTTACAGTAACAGAAAAATAAACATTAACTTGATTAAATCTTTTTAATTTATTTCAAACCAATTCCAGTCAGATCGTTAACAAAAAACATTTAAAATATATTTATTTTAATTTTAAAAAAACTGTATTGTGTTAATTTCTATAGTTGAGTGAGCAAATTTATAATTCATAATTTAAACAGTATAACGAAAAAAATATATACAAAATGGTATCCCTATTTTTAAATAATTACAACTAGAATGCTAGTTTTGGTTACAGTTTGACACAAATACAAAAATTAATAAATAATAAAACGTATAATTTAGTTAATCATTATATGCAGCTTAAAAAATTGTATAAAAATAAATGAAGAAAGTAATTGGTAGCAAGTCATCTGATACAGGTCACAACAAAGAACATAAAATAAGAATAACTATATTGATTCTTTCTGTTGCGAAATTTAAAATCATGTAATAGAAATATAATAATGATTTATACGTTTAAAATAATGGAATTTACTTGACTTTTTCCCTATATGTTGCTTGATATAATCAACAATATCGTTACATATAAAACGACATTCACTATCAATTAACCAACGTTATCTTATGAAAGGCTTAAATCCCTTGAATCCCATTGTTGAATTTCTATAGTAAATCCCTAGAATAATACAAGCGACTAGTATTACTTTTCTTGATCATGTAAGTCGATCAAAGTGCCATGTAATGCGTTCTATGAACATAAAGTGGATTACT